TAAATTTCACTCCAATCCAATAAGTAGATTGCAAGAAATCTTAAAAACCCTCACTGAACCTACAATTCTACTTTCTGAGTCCTTGACTCACTTAAACCTCAATAATCCTCAATTCAACCATTAGATCAAGCTAAAATTCACAAAACATATTGAATACATTTATAACCACTAATTAAAAAAATTTCATCTATAGAACTATTACCAAATTCTTAAAATCATCCAAAACGTAAACCCTATTTTATTTTACAAAATCCAAGTCATCCAAAACAAATCTTGAATTTGCAAAGCTCTTACAAAGTCAATACAGATCCAAATCACCCAAAACTAATGCTTATAAAAATCTTATCCAATCTTCTATCAAATCCCTTTCTCCGATCTGCCAAAGAATCCCCGAGTTGCCGTAGGTACTCAATTTTGTGCCTTAGGATCTGATTTCGACACAGGTTGATAACCGGCCCTCTTTGGGTATCAATATCTAGTTTTTCTAGGTATTTTTTGCTAGAATTTACTCTCAACTCTCTCCTAAAGATGGCTATATCATTTATTTTTCCAATCTACTTTATTTTGCTTTATTTTTGGTCCTACAAAGTAAGTAGAAGCTATTTTTTTCTAAAAAGGCAGCATTACTACTAAAAGTTTTACTACCTTCTTATCTTTTATCCATATTTTTTTACTTTTTTTTTTAACTTGGCTCTTCTATAATAAGATCCATATTATTATCAATCACCATATGGTCGTGTTATAACACGGCAATGCTCTAGATTCTCTGAGCTTCCATGATCGCAAAGTTGCTAATACATCAAACATCCATCCTATACCTCCTCAATCCTTCTATATACTGCATCACATTGACATGTTTCTAATTGCACCCCCACCTCTCAATTTCTATGCTACACACACATTCAATTTGCCATCTAACCACCTCCATGTTTTTCAACCACCTAATTATACATGTAGACTTGTATAATGGACAACAATAGCAAGAGCATTTTTCTTCTCTATCGGTGTCATGAGATACATAAAAATAGAAAGAAGCCAAAGAAAATACAGAACACATGATGTTAATGGAAGCTATGCATTAAAATGATTAAGAAAACATTAATGACAATAGAAGTTCCAAAATTACAACTACATGCATTCAATATTTTATTTTATTTATTATAATATTTTAGTTTAATGCATGTAGTTGTAAGTTTTATTATTATATTTTAGGTTTTTTTTTTTTTTTTTTTTTTTTTTTTCTTGTCTTCATGAATTTTTTTAAAATATTACTCTTAAGTTCATCACAATACATTCTATAGTAAATCTAGTTTGGCTACATATCTACAAAAATACAAGATTCTTTTCAACATCCGTATTAGTACTCCATCAATGCCAAATGTGAGTCCACGAATCAATTGTAAATTTTTGACTGGATCCATCTAATTCACCTTATAGCAAGGTCTCCTCTGTCCATGTTTTGCATTCTGTGTGAGATCAATTTTTTCAATTGGAGCTGCTGAAAATGACTTCATTTTAAATAATAATATTTATGGTGGTGAGACAATAGCACTGCTAGAAAAATACTTCTATTCGCCGGCAGTACAAAAAACTGTGCTACCTTAATCAAATAGCACACATGCATGCATGCCTAATTTGAACTAAAAAAAAATCCAAGTACTTCAATTCATACACAATACATACCGTATTTCCAAATTGAATCTCTTTAAATATGTTGTTGATGATGGTGTTGACATTAATCTCTCTCTTGGATCAATTGAAAATCCTAATTTGTGAAAACAATCAAATACAAAATGCATTCAATAAGCTTTGGTAATCACCACAATATAATACTCACAATGATTGAATACCACTGATAAAAGAGAATAGTCTTTCAAGATATGTTAAAACAAACCTTGTCTAGAGCAGTTCATATTTATTATTTAGATATTAGTCGCTGTGTTGCTAATGAGCATGAGATGAATGTATTCCTTATTCCACAAATTTGCATTATACCAAATCTTCTCGACATGACCTGAAGACAAGAGAAAAAAAAAAAAAAAAAACAAAAAAAAACAAAATAAAAAATAAAAACATATACATATATTGATGAAAAAAAAAAAAGAAAAAAAAAAGAAAAGAAAAATGAGAGCCATAGTTTAAACGAACAAAGCTAACACCACATTAGTTAAGCTTTACCACAAACGGACACTTCATCCAATATATACACTGATCTTCAAGGACAGATCTGATGTTAGCAATAGCAACTACAACTAAAATATCCTACCAAATTTGTCAGCAGATGATGCTTTGTCATAATCAAGTCGGTTTTCAATTCTCCATATTTTTACAAATTAAAATATTTTGTTAGCATGAACAAAGCACACACTCTAATACTTGTGCATTCTCACAATATTGAATCCTTAAATTGAATCTATGACATGTCTCATGTGGTACAGAATGCAAGTGAAGGCAACCGATACATGGAAAGAATGAAAAAATAGGACATTACTTGTGAAGATAACTCTAAAAACTCAAAGAGCAAATTTTTCCATCTCTGTTCCATGAGATTGTAAATAATAATCATATATGACTAATAGCTATCAGTTTGGACTTGAGAAATGTATTTTGAATTGAAAAAATGATGATAAAGCCAAAAAAAAAGAATCCATGATACATGGACAACAAGTTTTGACTTAGATCCATTTTATACATATGTAAAATTAGGATTTGCACTAGGTATAATTTTGCAAAAATTGAGCATCTTGAAATTGATTGATTAGCAAAAGTAATTAGAGTATCTCCTTACCTTAACGTTAAATTGTTCAAAAGATTTTTTGCAATAAAATTAATGAAAAAAAACATGCCTCGTTGCCATCACTACTTGAGACTTGTGAATGTATATGTAAGAGTTAATTCTATTATCTACAGATAGATATATTTAATGAAAAAGTAAAGTTTATATAGTCATAGAATTTATAGAGTGTAACTAAGAAGTATTTTATTTTGTAACTTTAAAAAATTCACCTATAATATATTAAAATTGATATTTATCAAATTTAAAATATTTTTAGTATATAATATGATTTTTTATTTAAACCTAAATATTTAATAATTTTTATTTTAAAGCCAATAAATTAATAATCTATACAGCTAATCTAGCTTCAATTTAAGTTTTTTTTTAAAAAAACTATCATAACATTATGAGTATGCTGGAAAATGTTACCACTTGCACAAGTTATGTGCCGAAATTTTCATCTCTTTAAAGAATTTTCTTAAAATCCACAATAATTACTTAATAAAGATATTAAATGTTTGCCTTGCTTAAAATCTAGAAAAATCTCATCTATAAAGAATAATCTACTCAAAACATTTTTGCATGTGTAAATTAGAACAATTTAATTATTTATTTACCTTAATAGAAGGTGCTCTGATGTCCATACATGAAAAGGCTATAATGTGTATACTAGAAAACATAAAGAAATGCCAACAAAAAAAAAATCCTAAAATTTTATTAACCCCTAAGTGCTCCTAGGATAGAACATGTGGGTAAAAATGCAGCAAAAGTGGTTTTGGAGCTTTTTGTTCACTATATTTGGTTGTTGTCTTGAAGAAAAAGTTTTAGTACGTGGAAGCACTACTACATAAACAAGCGGTGGATGATCCGAGTCATCTCCACTGCCAAGTACAAACAGAATCACCCCACGTCAGCCAAAGGTCACCAGGGCCCAGATCAAAAGACAAACATGCCACAAATTCCATCACCCTGAGGTCACCACGGACCAGGGCAAAGAACAAACAAAACTACCCCTCGTTACCTTGACGTCATGTATAGGTTGGTCCAAACATTGATGACAACAAGATCGATATGTACAAGACAATATCATCAGCAGCAATATTTCAAGGTCCCCAAGTTGCGACAATCAATTCCATGTTCATTCGACTGCGGACGGAAGGGTACATGAGGCCGCGCGGTGCATGCAGCACTTCTTGCTTTTAATCTGAGTTGCTGTAAAGCTAGAACTGATGAATGAAGCCAATCCCTGGCCTAATTGAGTAAAGATGTACGTGATATAATTAAACCAAGCTTAGAGGACCAGCCATGGGAATATCAACCACAAGTAACATACAGTAATACATGCATTGTCATATATGCATGTAATTTTTATAATTAAACCCAGGCTCCAGATTAAAGGACCGGAAATAGGAAGATCGATTGATCTGCTTGATTAATATGATTAAAAACTTGTATACATTGAGAAGACAATATTGAATATTGACAGTCAATACGAATACACGAGTAAATTTTCTGACGTGCCAAATATTAATCGGACATCAAATGATAGAATACATAAAGTTCGCTCGAACGTCGCATCGATCGCAATCACGTCGGTCTCAGTTCCAATCATGCAGCCTTGATCGATCATCTAGACTGCAGCACTCCACAGTGCAACTATTTGTGCACACTGGTAAGCTGGCTCGCAAGCGATGGGGTCGAATGCGGACGTACTAGCAGCCTCGAACTGTGGTGTGGAGATGGAGGACGAGCTTCCGCCGCTGTACGCATCGCTAGCCATCTAGGGGATGCGGCTGTTCCACCAGACGGTGCACCTGAACGAAGTGGAAGCGGAGCTGGCGAGGGTAGCGGCACGCTGGAACATCCCATCGTGCCACGACTGCTGCCGCCTGGCACTGTTCATGGCGAGCGTATCGCACAGCAAGGTCATCAGCACCAACCACTTAGTGGACATTTTCCTGCAGTACTGCCTCGTGTTCCTGCTCTACGACCTGCTCTTCGACGCGCCGGACGACGATCTGCTGGAGGGCTACGGCATCCACCGCAGCGAGCGCGAGAGTATGGACCGCGTCCAGGCGTGCCTCAACAGGCTGACCGGCATTTTCTGCCAAGCGCTGCTGCCGGTCAACATCTGCAAGAATAATTTTTATCCAATGAACCACGAACAGCATATGTGGGTATCATCTTGGATGGGATACACTTTGTACTTGGCCATGGTTTAATGGCTAAATCACAGTCATACATCCACATATTAGGTTGTGTAAGAAACGCCGGAGAGCAATCGATACCGCCGACACTTGTCGATGGCAGGCTCCCGATACCAATTTTTGAGATCGTGGGGCTTGTTCGGCTGCTTGCTAATGCGCATGTCGACGGACGGCACCAGCGGCGAAAACAAAGCCTCGTGTCCGAAAACTTTCGAAATCAAAGCTTGCGAGCGGACTTCAAATCCCTCATTTAGTTTTTGCTTCTGCTTATAATGCTTCGGGAGCTTGCAGCAAATGGAATCATGCTTATTGATGTACAACACTGGCACCCAATCGATTAAGTCCTTGAAATGCTTTATCTCCTCCACCAACTGTTCCCCATAATATATTGCCGCCAATGTCAACTTCATCAAGTTCATCATGTGGGGGGCCGCCTTAATGAGACGCTCCAGCGAATATTCCCCCAGCACCTCTTTCGCTTTGTCTCTCACTTTGTCTAGACGTATCCCCTCCGTAATCAGCAGCACGATCGTCCAGAACGGCGGATTGAAGCAGTGAACGTGGTACCGCTGGTTCTCCTCGGCCGCCAGCGTTTTCCCGATTAGCAGCGCTAGCGCGGCGCCCAGCGAGTGTCCCGTGATGTATATGTCACCTTCCGTTGCCGAGCTGCTCGAACTGCTCGAACTGCTCTCCAGTGGCTTGTCAATCTTCGTGTAATCTTTCAGCGAAACTCCTCGATATGGCACAGCAGGAAAATTTGAACAACCCTCTTCAGAAAAAGAGAGTTCAGGTTTAGACTCGGAGGACTCGGCATCATCGTAGCCACCTGGGTGTAGGCGTCCTCGCTCCGGTTCCGACTTCCTAAGTGGTTTGTCAATCTTACTATAAACTTGGCTACTTCCATGCTCTAGGAAGCATTTCTGACACAAGTAGTTCTCTTCCCTGCAGAGATTTGTGGACATGCATTTTGAGTAAACGTTGTTCATCCACCTCGCGTCGATCATCGCAAGCGGGGAAATGAAAATACACAACGGGATTCAAGGGGATAACAATATTATAACGGGATATGAGGTGCTTACTTGTTGGATTTGTAACGTGGACCGACTGTGGGTTTCATCTTGCACACCTCGCAAAAGAAAGCTTGGCGCACAGTAGGAGGACCCACGCTCTGGGAAGCAAGTTCAGTATCAGACGACTCGGAGTTGCCATCATAGCCCCGCTGCCATTTCGCAAACTCACGATGATCTTCTTGACGAGGTCCATGTCCTTCTTGAAGCGAGGGTCGAAGCGGAGGGTTGACATGCAGATAGTGATGTTGGTCTTGAAGTCTTGACTTCTGCTGAGCTTGGTATCGCGGATGGTGATAACGAGGCTGGGGGCGGACGCGTTGGGGTTGCGGTGATGGCGAACGAAGTGCTTGATCCCGGCATCTTTCTCCTCCTCCTCGCTGATGCTTGCCAACCGCGTCCAGAACAAACTGGACGTGCAGTGCGCCAGCATAGCATTTGTAAGCGATGAGCTTTGTACGAAAGAGCAGCTTTGTTCTACCCTAGCTTTACTGTATCTCCGCTCCCAACAACATGGAGGATTTGACAAAGTTTGGAAAGACAAAATGTGGAGGACAACTCCAAACTATTCCAAAGTATTATATACTCATTCGTAGATTGTTGATAGTTACCATATTTATTGTGTCTTTTTATCAATTTTGTTTTGTTTGTTTTGTTAATTTGAATGCGACCAGGTCTTTTAATCAGTTTTGTTTTGTTTGTTTTGTAAATTTGAATGCGACCAGGATTTTTTTTTCAGATTTGTTTTGTATGTTTTGTTGATTTGAATGCGACCAGGTCTTTTTATCAGTTCTGTTTTGTTTGTTTTGTTAATTTGAATGCGATCAGGTCTTTTACGCACCTACCATGTGGATGTATGACTGATTTAGCCATTAAACCATGGCCAAGTACAAAGTATATCCCATCCAAGATGATACCCACATATGCTGTTCTTGGTTCATTGGATAAAAATTATTCTTGCAGATGTTGTCCAGTGGCAGCGCTTGGCAGAAAATGCCGGTCAGCCTGTTGAGGCACGCCCGGATGCGATCCGTACTCTCGCGCTCGCTGCGGTGGATGCCGTAGCCCTCCAGCAGATCGTCGTCCGGCGCGTCGAAGAGCAGGTCGTAGAGCAGGAACACGAGGCAGTACTGCAGGAAAATGTCCACTAAGTGGTCGGTGCTGATGACCTTGCTGTGCGATACACTCGCATTGAACAGTGCCAGGCGGCAGCAGTCGTGGAACGATGGGATGTTCCAGCGCGCCGCTACCCTCCCCAGGACCGCTTCCACTCCGTCCAAACGTCCACTTTGTATTCCCGTTCGAAAAGCTGTTTGACCATCGGGTTCCAGTCGATACCGCTATGGTCGCGATAATACACGCTGTCCACCAGCATGGCCAGTACCTCTTGCAAGTCCTCATAGGTCGATTTCACGGCGCGCACTGCACACGCTACCAACGCCTCCACTTCTTTTGCCAATATCTTATTCGCCTCGTTCGTCCCCAGCTGCTTGTCAACACGCTCTAATACCTTGGTGACCACACCATCCAAAACTTCCTCAAATCCCATCTTTCACATACCAGACATAAGAATTTCGCAACAGTAGTTAATGTTGTCGAACTCCGTTATCAAATCAATTCACTCATTTTGCTATAACTCTGCAATTCAGCTTAAAGTGACGATGCGTTAACACTCCACCAGCCCCACACCACAGTAAGCTACTTGGATCGAGATCTACACTGCAACAGAAAGCTTCGTTTTCAAATGCAGAAACACGTGACATGTTCACTCCAAGGTCCGATCGAATGGTCGGCACCAGTAGAAGGACGACTGATCATTCGCTACAAACAACTACTATCGCTAGCGGAATGAGCTTGCAGAGCCCGAGTAGCAATCTGCAGCTTCGATCAATGAAACTCCGGAGCCCGAGTAGCAATCTGCAGCTTCGATCAATGAAACTCCGGAGCTAGCAAAGGGGATCTCAAAGGACTGATAGCACAATTCAAGCAGTTCCAAGTAGTTTTTTCATAATTCAAACGCTTCTTAGTAAGGGGTGTGTATTATGTTTCAATGTTTGTTATAGATCACTACTGGATTCATGGGAGGTGGGGTTAGGCAAAGAACTTTATAAGGTTTTGTATTCTAATTTTTAAATTTTTTTAAAAAGAGAAGTACTAAATTAAATCACATTATTCACGGATACTTATATTGAGTTGTTTAACTAGATAGACAAGTAGTTTTCATATCCATGTTTGTCAAATACAGACAGACATTGTCACGAACATACTCATGTAAGCCAATTATTACATATATAAATAGGTAGAAGTAAGTAAAAGTATATAAAAGTAAGTTAATTCTATAGTATTTCATACGAAAGCTTCCTAAAAGCTTCATAGATGCTACTTTGACTTTATAGGTGTCTTTAATTGACTTTTTGGATTAGAAACATGGTCAACAAGTTGGCCATGTGCCACACATGTTGTTAGCTTGAAGACCAAGCTAACTATGTGGCCCATACGTAGAAAAACTTGCGTTGTAAGTCAAAGCATGTATCCTACAAAGTCAACACATATTGGAGGTCCTATAGAATGTCACCACGTAGCCCCTAGTTAGATAGTATATATAAAGTCAAGAGTGAAGCCTTCTTCACTCTTGTCAACTCTTTTCTTGCTTCCAGTCTAGTTTCAAGGGTTTTTAGTTTTCTTGACTTTTTGGCAATAGCCATTCCAGTTTCTTTCTTAATATATATATCAAGTTATTTTTATTTTGTCATCTTGCTTTGAGAGAAGTTTCATTCGTTTATTTATCTTTATCATGTTCTTATCCTTGACAGATTGATAAGAATACACTTACAATATCAAAGTTTTGTCTAATCTTGATTAAGAGTGGATTACTCCTTTTTCTTGATAAGGCATATGCATATTAGAAGTTGCGGATTATCCACTTCTAAACTGATATTGTTCCTAGTATTTTCTTTGTTCTCAAGTCCTCCCTTCTATTTATCTTGAGCGATATTAGACATCTTCTCTTTTCTAAGTATTATTATGACAAAACTTACTGAAATGAAGAGCACAATGGCACAAATGCAAGAGCAATTGAAGGACTTAATGCTTACGATGCATCAACTCAATTTACCACCATAGGAAGCAACAAGATTGACAGGAAGTAAAGTTATAGAAATGATTGGATCTGCTTCAACATCTGCACCAAATCATGTCCCTTCTCCTATGGCGAAACTCCTTTCCAGTGTTAGAGAACCAAGAATTGCCCTATCCATGAAATTTGATGGCACTAGATCAAAGTTTAGAGGATTTATCAATCAAATAAAACTTGTGATTGAACTTCAATTCCAAAGCTATCCAACTCCAAGATCACAAGTTAGATTCATTAATATGCTTTTTTTAGATTCAATATTATCATAGTTTTTATCTTTTTTTGAATGATGAGATCTAATATTGGATAATCTAGAGGCTTTTCTGGTAGAGTTTCGATCCATGTATGGAGAACATGATGTAATTCGTGTTGCAACCAATAAGATCCATATTTTATGACAAGATAATAGATCATTAACATTGTATGCTTCACAATTTGTACAACTTGCAATTGATATCAAGTGGGATGATGCTGCTTTCATTAGCCAATTTCTCTACAGATTACAATATGAAGTAAAAAAAACTAATGCTCAACTTACCTGATCCTCAAACAATGAGTCAAGCAATTGACTTTGCTGTGAAGTGCGACAATCACATTTTTGAATTTCGATCTGAGAACCATATAAGTAGACCTCAACGTAACTATAATTCAATAGCAACACCAACATCTCTTCAACACATACATTCGAAAGTAGAGGATATGCAAATTGATGCACTACATTTCAAACCTCTTACTAAGCTAGAAAAGACTCGTCCTCGTCAAGAAAGTTTGTACTTATATTGTGGAGAACCTAAGCACACTGCTCAACATTGCCCAAACAAATTATGCAACCATAAAATGAGGAGTATGGCAATCAATGGAGATAGCATGTCGAAAAACGAATTTATCCAGCTACAATAGGAACCATGCGAGTAGAACCTTGTACAACGCCTAGTGAAGGTCCTATCCTCTCCTCAAAACCCTCTCCATGTTTTACAATAAATATTATTCTAGGACCTAAACATCTCAAAGCCTCTGCCTTGCTAGATTCAGGAGCCTCAATATGTTTCTTAGATGAAAAATTTGCTAAAAGATATAGCATATTTTTAGTAAAGAAAACTAAATTTGTTCATGTAGAAGTCATAGATGGTCGTCTGTTGTCTTCAAGAGATGTTACTCATGAAATCCTTCCTATAGAAATAGCAACTAATGGTCATAGTAGTTTTATAATATTTAATATCATTAAATCTCCTTTTAATCCACTCATTTTAGATTTATCATGGCTAGAAAAATATAATCCTAAAATAGATTAGACTTCTTGTAGTTTTGACTTTTCTGAAAGTATAACTAAGAGTGTAGTTAATCAAGTAGAAAGTCATAAGTCAAGTATAATTAAACTTATATTTGTAGGTGCAAGAGCTTTCTTGCATGTTGCAAAAGAAGGATCACCTTGTGTCATTTATGCCACACTTGTTCCTATTGGTGGAAAGACTCCAAGTCGCATTCCAAGCCAATATCAAGATTTTCAAGATGTAATTGAAAAAAAGAATTCGAATACTCTTCTAGAACATTATTCCTATGACTGCTGAATTAACCTTCAAGAAGGAGCACAATTGCCATTTGGACCAATCTATAATTTATCTCAAAATAAGTTGGCTAAACTCAAGGAGTATATTGAAGAAAATTTGGCCAAGAACTTCATATGCCATTCCAAATCTCCAGAAGGAGTTCCAATTTTATTTGTAAAGAAAAAAAATGGATCATTGTGGATGTGTGTTGATTATCGAGGACTCAACAAAATCACTATAAAAAATAGGTACCTGCTACCTTTGATATCTGGACTTCTTGATCAATTGAATCAAGCTAAGATCTATACAAAAATAGATCTATAGGAAACATGCAATCTGCTACGCATAAAAAAAGGAGATGAATGGAAGACTACGTTTCGAACAAAGTATGGACATTTTGAATACAACGTCATGCCTTTTGGACTTAGAAATGTACCAACAGCATTCCAACATCTAATGAATGATG